AAATGAAAGAAAATATAAGATGATGATTAAGAACCTCATTTCAATGTTCGTTAGAACCAGAATACGCTGTAGACTTAAATTAATGAACCTTTGATGAATTATATAATTATTATCATCATCAAGTGTCTTGCCGACTGGAGTAGGTGATCATGCCTCTCCAGAATCTGCCATCTCCAACACTATGTATCAGCCTTGGCTTTGACTCCCCTCCATGCCATAAAACAAAAACAAAACCAAAAAAAAAAAAATAAGATGACTGTCTTTTTTCCATGTCTGGGACAATTGACTTAAAGCCATTGTCTCTTTCACCACAGGTAGGTTGCTCTTTTTCGGCTGTCTAAGAATTTCTTCTGTAAAATCATGTCAATCGGATATCAAGAAATTGTATAATACATTCAGTGAATTAACTATTTGGATACTATGCCAGTTTCATGGGCGCCGAAAAGTCGTCGCCCTCCCATGCATAAAACAATCTTTTAAACCAAGTAATTATGAAAAAATAAGAGACTGTCTTTTTTCATGTCTGGGACAATTGACCACAGCAGCATTGTCAACAACACAACACAAGGTAGGTGCTCCTTTTAGTAAACTCTACTGTTTATCTTATGTAAAATCATACTCATGCCGGATCTCAAGAAATTGTATAATACATTCAGTGAATTAACTATTTGGATACTATGCCAGTTTCATGTGCGCCGAAAAGTCTTCTCCCTCCCCCCCCCCCCATCTTTTAACTCAGTAATTATGAAGGGGTCTCAGCCCTTCACCTTCGCAGAGGCAGCAGCAGCAGCAGCAGCAACAACAACAACAACAACAATGTCAGAACAAAAATAGTACACTTACTGTTTATCCGTATTGAATTATACTTTTGCCAACACAGAAATGAAGCATACGATTTTGCTTGGCGAATGTCGATGTATCTCGTCAGGTGCACTATTAAATACAAGATTGTACCCCCAAAAAAGTAAAGGTCCCTCTTCCATGCCTTAAGGCGTATAGGGCATATAGGACTAGGCCTATATTTTTATAGACCAATTGTTATTGTGGTCTGCATTACACCAGCGCCTTTACTTTCCAGGACTGCACCCGGTACCCACTCAAGGCTGGGTCATGATATAGGACAAGGTCATTTTTTAAAAAGTCATACAACAGAGAACATAAAAACAATAATTTCAACTGAAAAACACAAACTACATTATCTTCTCTAGTTACACCGTATACATTCATAAATAGTTCAAGACTGAAAGGGTTTCGTTTTTGTGCTTCAATACAATTTGAAATTTTCTATAGTAATGTACCTGAAAAGATACAGAGCTTAGCAATCAATGACTACAATAAATAGTCACTTTTTAAACACCTAATTTGACAAGATAGTTTACTTTATTACAGAAATACACCTGTTATTTTACTGAAAAACTGACTTTAGGCAATATCAAAGAAGTCCACAACCAAAACATTAGTAATATAAAAGTCGTAAATTTACACATTTCCAATGTTGAAGATAAAATGTGTACGTTAATTGGTCATATCACACATAAGAAATTATGTTTGTGGACGGAATTATTTGTGTTATCTACTAGCTCAGTGCCTCCCAGCCCACAGGTCATAGGAAATTACTAATTGGAGGTGATTACTTTGAAGTAGGAGTGTATCTGCCTTGTAGGCGAGGAACCAACAGTCTACATACAAATAATACAGATATGTAAAACGGATATGCCTGCAAAACTCAGTTCTTGAATAAGACCAATGTTCAGAAAAGGACAAACCAGAACTTTCCCCAGTTTGCAGGCAATTATGCTGTTAAGAAAATAATAAGAACTCCACAGGGGAGCATGTACTGCAGGGGCCCACCGATCATCAGTAGAAGAACACTCGTCAACGAGTGTTTGGGTCAATCAACTCCATTATAACTTCAGAGGGTGGGCTGACCTAGGTCATGACACCCAGGCCTCCATCTTCTCCTGCTGCACTTTATCGGATGTTCTCGGACATGGACAAGACGAAATTGTGACTATGCAAAGGGGACTGTGAGATTTAAAGTTAAATATATGCATAAGAAGATAATAAGTTTGACTGGTATATTTTGTTGTACCTCGTTAGATGCATTTCTACAGAGTTACATAACATAAGTAAAACTAAGATCCCTTTTCACGACTTAGGCGCATCGGGTATATGGCAGAGCGCCCCATATCTTTACAGACCAATCTGCACTCGATGGGTAATGTGGTCAGCATTACGCCGGCCGTCATTACTTCCCCCAAAAACAGCCATCCTGGTACCCATTTTAGGCTGGGTCGACCTGCAACGCCCTAGCCACGGACGCCTCGTTACATAACATACGACAGTATAAAGCCGAAGAAATAAATGTACAAATCATATGTCTTCTCTAGAAATGTGCATTGAGCCCAAAGAAGACAATTCTTCACGATCATATTTATAAATATTGAATATCTAAACCATACTCTACCTACTTCGCACGTTTACCCGCCTCAAAGTAAAGTAAAGGACCCTTTTCCACGCCTTGAAAGCGTATTGGGTATATAAGGGCTAGACCTTTATTCTGTAGACCGAACGGCACTTGGTGGGTGTGTTATCAGTGTCAGGCCACCATTTTTACCTTCCAGGACTGTTCCTGGTGCCCACTCAATGCTAGTGGACCTGGAAGCCAAGGTCATTTTTGAAAAAAGAAACAATCCGGCCCTCGTCAGGAACCGAACCCAAGACCTTCCTATCCGCAGCCGAGCGACTAACCGCTAGACCACGGTGGCTCCCTTACAGTCTTTGAAAGGTCCTTTAAATTCTGTTCACTTTCTGCTAGTAACACTATCTTCACTATTTCTCAAATTGTCTACTATTCTTCTGTTAATATTCAATACAGGCACTTCCCCATTTTGTTTTACAATATTTGGTTTTATAGACATGGCTAAAGTAATCGTGTGCAATATTAAATTAGTGATTAGTAAGTATTATCATCACAGCACACCGGACAGATCCATAGGTGCTCCAATCTCCTCCTCAAAAGCTTCACAGTTGTGAAACGACCGATGACGCCTGTTCTGTGTTGGTTAATGAAACTTCTTGTCCCTTAAGTGAAATTTTCATTGTGTGTGTGTGTGTGTGTGTGTGTGTGTGTGTGTGTGTGTGTGTGTGTGTGTGTGTGTGTGTGTGTGTGTGTGTGTGTGCAGCTCCAGGTTGCAACCTCATGTCCAACAGCCTAGACGGGGATAAGTCATGCCTTTTGGCGAGCTAGTCGTCACGATAAGTACTGGGCATGACATTGATAACATCCCTTCTGTCTAGTATTAGACCAGCCATAGCAACCTGTGCAATGTTAGAGATATTTTCTAGTGGGTGCAAAATTAGGTGGTAGTGTCTGCTATCAGTTCTTCTTGTAGTCCACGCCGTGGGGTGTTTGTTGTCATCTCTGTCAAAAACTTCTGTCTCGCTTCTTTGGATCACTTCTGAACTAGATATTTTTAAATATCATGATGTCAAACTGTCCAGCACATTCTCTCTTGGTCTCCCTCTGCGTCTTCCCCCCCCCCCCCCTCTTCCAGTGTTCTCAATAGCGATTTACTCAATTTTGTCATATATATATATATATATATATATATATATATATATATATATATATATATATATATATATATATATACATGTTATTCAAGAATACATACATTAAATTATCAAGCTAACCCACATAAAAATGCTGGCTATACTACGGTGCCATATGCTATAGCTGTTGCTGGTGCTGTAATTACTGTAATTCTAGTTGTGATCAGATCTTGAAATAACAGCCCAGAGGGGGTAGACATGTGGTGCTGTTCATTGTTCCCCTCCAGTGCTATTTTTCGTGGGACTAACCTCAAGGATGAGAACCAAACAGGAGCTTATCCCAGAAATCATCCTCACCCGTAAAACATTCTTGGGTACAGGTAACGTTTTGGTCCACAAAAAGAGAGTGACTTTCATTTCCAGTCATGCCACGTCTGGTCGCAGGACCTCTCTTATGTTGCGAAATTGCCATGTAGACCTTTTTGTCAACCCTTGAACCGATCTCTCTTTTCTCGTGTTTTCACCGCTCACTTGCGTGATCATTTTCACGTTTTGTTTCTTGCGCTACGGTTGGCAGTATGGAAGCTGCAATGTTTTTCTATTCCTACGTTTCTTGTCAGTAGCCTCCTTTACTTGGGGAGGCAGTGGTGTGTGTGTGTGGAGGGGGGCGATCACTCTCATTTTGAGGACCAAAATGTTACTAATAACCATTCGTGTATTAGAGCATGACTTCCGTTTAAAATTTTTTTTTTTTTTTTTTAAGTTTTGCTCTCCAGGAGAGCAGTTTATAGGATTACCACCTGAATTATGATATTAAACGGCTACACATCCCAGATTAAATCCTTTAGCTATACAGCACAGTTATATTGGGGCTCTGTTAGACGGTAATAGAGTAACATGTAATGCAATGTGAAGATGGGTTATGTATTAAATTTGTCTGGTGGTGACAAACAGTACATCGTAGGAAAGTTGGAGGGGAAGAGAGACAAAGGGAGTCCGAGACAACAGATGCCAGAAAGTTTGACATCATGTCATGAATGATCTTCTGTGTCAGAGTTAATTAAAAGTACTCGAGACAGTAGGTTGTGGATAGACATGACTATCAATGCCACACGGCATAGACATTTGAAAGAGTAAAACAAACAGTCATGCATACATATTTGGACATTTGCTGGTTCTGCGATGTGCTGCAGTGATGAAACCCTTCATGTATGAGAAATTCTATGTATTTAACCCGTAAGAGTAGGTTTGCAGCGCATATTGTGATATCCTTGTGCAATTTACAATAATCCTATAGTAAAACAAAATTAATCAATTCGTTACCGAAAACGTGACTTCTCCAGGGGAAATTATAGTACAAAATATACACTAGAACATTGTTGTCTCCCTTACAACGTCTGAAGAGCCAAAGCAAAAGACCTGACAACTACGCTGCTAGGTCCATGTTAACCGTGTGGGTAGTCCTGGCCGCAGGCACCTGAAATATAAAACAAATAATTTCTATCAGGAGAGTAAACCAAACCGTCTTTTTTAAGATCTTGTTCGTTCCTTCTTTCGCCTGAACAGAGCTAGAAGAGAGACATTTGACAGTCTTGAAGCGGACACCTGGAATCTCACCAAAAGCGTGTCCTACGACTGAAACTAGCTACCAAAACGTTGCCATTCTCCTCAATGAAGTTAAAGCAACTGTTTTTGATAAGCTGGACTTTCGCACACTTTCTGATGGCAAAGTTAGCCTGTTTGGCTTTAAAGCCAACTTTTTCCAACACAATGTCCTTAGCATGAGAGGATCCCTGGAATGGATTTGCCTTCTCTAAGTGGGCTTTCATGTAATCTTTATCGTGCCGCCTTTGTTCACGTGGGTGGTCTTTCAGATTTCGAGCAGTTTGCAGTTACATTGGCTTTCCCATCTTCGTTGAGAGACTAAACCATCAGAATTTATAAATAAGAAGTCTCACATTCTTAGAAACAAACACCGACCTCTAGTTCATATGTATATATTCGTTTTATGTATTTGTTTACGAGGTGGTATATTAGTACTACATGCAACTTAGTTTGGCCTTGAAAAGCTCTTATGTTTATTTTGGTTATGATTATTAGTTCCGTTCCCTCACCCTAGTCCATCTTCGTTTCTTTTTCTGCCCTTTAGTCCTCCAGTGGACAATAGGCCCTAAACCAGCTTGGGGTATTATTTTTATTCTATTTTCTTTTTCAAGAACAAAGTCATCAAGAAGTGAGAAAGTATGAGGACCGCTCTTTTATAAGAAAGTTGGCAAGATGGCCCATGACCAGTTTTGAACTTGAACAGTGTAAGCAAAGGACCAAACAATAAAAAAAAAAAAGCTGTCAGGACACTCTATTACTTAGTCTTATATATCTGGCTCAGACAATCCCGATTTTACAGATACAATAAAGTTGAGATATCGTATTCTTGATAGCAAGGAAGCTGTTCATTCCGTTTATGGAGAAGAAAGATAAAGGTAACTGAAGCTTCACTGAAGAGAAATAAGCGCAATCTCCCATAGGATGATGATAAAGACTAATACAAAAATACGATTATGTGTATGTGTGTGATGTATGTGCGTGTATATATATTTCATTCTGCCATGCCAATACACGACATACATGGCTTGCAGGTTTTTCCTGTATGAATGAGTGTATTTATGTGTAAGTACGACGGCTATTTTAGTATTACCCGTTGATTGCCTTGAAAGAATTATTCGTTTGCTATAGGGAAACCGTTCATTGCTCACATCATTCAGTAGTCTTTTAGCTGAGTAAACGTCAGCTCACAGTCTCATTTGTCCATGGGTTCACGAACTGCGAAAGAATAAGCATGGACAGTGTTATTGCCTTTCCTTCCAGCTGTGGCGTGAAACGTTTTCTTCCAGCAAAAGGTCAAAGTGCAGCCGAAATTCATGGCTGATGGCGACGTGTGTATACTGACAAAATTATGAGTGACAGTTATGTAAGAGATTGGCGCAAGAAATTCAGAGGTGGGTAATGATGTACACGATGAAGGTGTACAGGAAAGACCTTCACGTATGACATGCGCTCATTCAAAAAAGTCGACCAAGTTCTGGTGGAAAAGCTCCGTTTCAAAATTTGAGATTTTTCTACAGAATTTGCACAAATTTCTAGGACTAGTTGATAGATATAATATTTATATAACATACAGCTATCAGATGAAGCGCTTTTATTAGTCGGTAGTAAAGTCCCTACGCCTAAAAACTAAGATTAATCAGATGCAAAAGATATTGGTTGTATCCTAAGATATTTTAGTAGGCAATTTGAACAATTTCAGTTACTACATTGCACAGATTTTAACTGTCAAAATTATGATAAAATGTTGTTCCTTCAAGTACCTATGTGTTTGCTACAGTGTACTGAGATAACACTCATGACTTTGTGTGGATATTGACATAAAATGTACAAATTACCATAACATTGACCCACACTGTACTTACAGTCAGCCATCCTCTCCTCCAGTATAGAAATCTGTTCACTGAGGGAGACTAATCTGTCTAAAGGAATCTGCTGGTCAGTTTCGTAGGGGTCAGTAGTCGTCTGCTCCTTGGTGACCACTTCTTTAGCTTTAAAGGCACTGATGGTGTTTTCATACTGGGCCACCGCATGGGACAAGTTGCTCTGTAACGTTGCCTGGTCATCAGAAAGTCAAGAAAATATAATATTTCAGTTAGTTAGTTAGTTAGTTAGTTAGTTAGTTAGTTAGTTAGTTAGTTAGTTAGTTAGTTAGTTAGTTAGTTAGTTAGTTAGTTAGTTAGTTAGTTAGTTAGTTAGTTAGTTAGTTAGTTAGTTAGTTAGTTAGTTAGTTAGTTAGTTAGTTAGTTTAGTTAGTTAGTTAGTTAGTTGGTAGATGAGTGAGTGAGTTAGTTAGGTAGTGAGTGAGTGAATGAGTGACTTAGTGAGTGAGTGAGTTTGTTAATCGACATATTATTGTCATTGCCGACCGGACAAGTCCATAAACGCTCGAAACCCGTCTTCAGTATAGCCCTTAGTGTGTTGCGACTAAGATGACCTGTTTTGTCCTTTACTGGGGTCCTTTACTTTTTCACTTCCTTTACTACATAACAGAAATACTTAATCGGACCTGTTGACGTTTCTCGGCTCATCTACACTCTTTCTCAGTATGATCTAGATCTGAGGCGTGTCACGCTGCACTGCTTTCTTCTAAGAGACTCTCTCATGTGACCTGGGCTCAGGCTGTGGGTAGGGTGGCTTGGGTTAGGGTCAGTTCCAAAATGTTTTGGGGTCGCTGAAAGCTATGTCGTCGTGTATTGTAGAACATGCGACATCGGCGCTGATGTAATTAGAGGCAAGACAGCGTGACAACCCTCCGACGTAGAAAGTCCGGGAAAGTATGAATGGAACGTCAGACAGTGCGTTGATCAGTCTGGAATCGTGAACAAAACCACTTAATCAAATGATATAAATACATAGGTTTATGGTAACTTTCGGTTATAAGAGAAGACAGTAAGAATGTCATATTATCCTTGCAGTGACCAAGAAACTTATGTTGGGCTGTTTCGTACCGAAAATTAACTAATCGACAAATATGCAGTGCGTGGTTCATAAATTGAAATGTATGATGCATGTCAATAGAGACAACTTACTGGAAGTCACAGTACTTGGCCCAGAACACAAAAAGGACACAATGACTGGACATTGTGAAACAGAAAAAATCAAACGAGGGTGCGATGTATGTGATATGTAAGCGATATGCTGGGATGGTGATGATGTTGCAGTTCATTCTCGCTCTTGTATCCGTTAATTTAGTTATTGAACACGTTTGTTAGTTTAGTTATCGTACATGTTTGTTAATTCAATTATCTTTCACCTTTATTGATGTGAGGACTGTTCGTGTTTGTTAATTTAATTATCGTTCGTGTTTTAATTTAATTCTCTTTCAGGTTAGTAATTAGCGAGCGCTTAAATGCACTGGCTAACCTGCTTGAACATTAGTCCAGGCTCTCAAGAGTTCAAAACGACTTCTAGGCGAGACAGAAATACAGACAGACAGACAGACAGACAGACAGACAGACAGACAGACAGACAGACAGACAGACAGACAGACAGACAGACAGACAGACAGACAGACATACAGACAGACAGACAGACAGACAGACAGACAGACAGACAGACAGACAGACAGACAGACAGACAGACAGACAGACAGACAGACAGACAGAGGGACGGACGGAAGGTGATCCTCATCCACATGGTGGCATGTTGAGTCATCGGGTGTTTATCGCTTGTGTGATTTCCTGGTGGGGTAGAAAGTCGGTCAGTCAGACATATTGTACTTTGTCCCTATGTTCATGGGGTCATAGGGCAAGTCCCCAGCCGGCCCATGGGTCAAGACGTCACTGATGCCCGCATACATATGTAACTCACAATATAAATAAGAATAAACCTTACAATAAAATGTATTTCTGAAATTAAACCAAATTCACAATACGATGGAATATCACGCCTAGTTTTGTTACTTCCATTGTATTTATATTGGACAAAGTTTTCTTCTACGTTTACAATTGCGAGTCTTTGATTGGATCCTCAAAACTTATGTAACACGCCTACTTCTATACTTAATAGAGATAAGGCATCCAGCCTACATTGTTGCACTGTTGTTTAATTTTAAAATGTTTAAAAATAAAGGCTTGGCTCTAATGCTATTGAGAATCTATGTAGTGCCCCTTCAATGTGTGATGCCCTAATCACTTACGTGTTGTGCTTAATGGCGAATCCAGCCAAGACTAGATGGGTACTACTTATGTAGGTAGATGTAATGAACGATATTTACCTTATCAGACTCCAACTGTTGTATACGACTTGACATTTGGACCAAGGTCTCCTTCATGTCGCTGACTGTCTGGGACAAAGTATTCAGCTGTTTGAGTTGTTGAACGTCCTTCTGCATTTCCTCAAACCTGTCCGACTGTATCTTCTCCTGCTGTGCCGTAGTCACAATGATATCGTCCATTTGTCTCTGCAGTTCTTCTAACTGTGACCCCTGGTCGCCATTCTCCAGCAAGCCTTGTATGGTGGTATTCAGTGTTTCCAATGTTGTCACTAATGTCTTGGTTACTGATAGATCATCGATTTGACTCTGTAGTCTCTTGAATGTCTCGGTGTGTCGGCTGCTCTCTTCAAGTGTTTCTAGTTTGACAGTGAGGTTTTTGATGATATCTACTTGTTTGACTGTGTCTTTCAAGGAGGTCACTTGTTTTTGCAGATCTTGAAAACGTTCTGCTTGTTTTGCCATCTCAGCTAGGGCGTCAAGCTGACGGGGTAATTAAAAAAAATAAGAAAATTATGTATAAGTGGGAAAAAGTTTTACATCTGATGAACTGTGGATGTTTCATCATGTTTAAAATAACAAGGTTTTCTCACCAAATAACTGAATTTGTGAACTTAGTATATGATTGCTAATGAATCTACAACATTGTACACAACGATGAGAATGAGACAAACAAAGTTCTTTGGTTATATGATGAGAAAATGAGCACTGGGAAATATTATGACAGCTGTTGAAGGATCCTGGTAGAAGAGACAGAGGCAGACCAAGAGGAGTGATGGAGGATGACTTAAGACATTGGTATGAAGGAATATCATCAGTGGGATTGACCCAGAACCCAAAGACCGAGATATGTGGAGATGTATAAACGCCTACGCCAGCTGGCAAGGTACTTGATGATGATGATGATGAACCTGGTACATCATTTTCTATTTACATAAACAGCACAGTTCGTGGTATCTTACTTCTGTAATGTCTTTCTTCTTCTTCTTCTTCTTCTTCTTCTTCTTCTTCTTCTTCTTCTTCTTCTTCTTCTTCTTCTTCTTCTTCTTCTTCTTCTTCTTCTTCTTCTTCTTCTTCTTCTTCTTCTTCTTCTTCTTATTTTTTTTTTCTTATTTTCCTTCTTCTTAGCGATTACCTACTGTCAACGCCCGTGTAGGATTCTTGCTGTTCGTCCACTCCTGGACTTGGTTTTCATACAAAACATAAGTTTTGTATGTATGTCCGATTTATAGATCTGGCTTTTTAAAATTCAGATGCACTCCATTTTGAAGAAAACACCCTTCCCTAATTAGACGCCTCCTACAGTATGCTTGGAAAAGGTAGGTTTAAGTGGGTCTATGTTTTGTCCTCTAAAAAGGAACCTTGGAATAGACAGAATTCTGTAATATAACCATCGATTATTATTTCTTTATTTTCAAGGGTAATGATTTGAAACCCACCAGGCATACAAACATTTCATTTTGGACATACGTAAAGAGCCCATTATTATAAGAAAGAAATACAAAGTCATACAAATATAGGGATGTATGTATATTTATGAGGGTATTAGGAAAACAGGTAAACTTAATAAACCTGAGATTAGATCAGAAGAAAATCTGCCACCCTGACACAAACACAAGCTTCACCTTATCAGATTCCAAATCCTCGATCCTTTCTGACACCTTCCCCATAAGATCACTGATTCCCTGGACTGTCTCCGACAGCCCGTTGATCTGTGGAAGCTGCTCCAGCTGCTTGCTTATCTCTTCAAACCTGGTCTGCTGGGCCTGGTCTTGTTGTGCTTTGATCATCCCTAGCTCTTCTATCTGCTTCTGCATCTCCTCAAGTTTCACTACTTCAGAACTGTCACGCTGCAGGCTCAGCACAGTATCGTTCAATAACTGAACGCTGTTTACTAAATCCTTCACTTTTGTTAACTCATTAATTTGATTTTGAATATTAATCTTTTATAGTGTCTACTTCTTTAACCATGTCTTTTAAAACATCAACTTCTTTAATCACGCCTTTTATGGCATCTACTTCATTTTCTAAATCCTCAAATCGACCAAGCTGAATTACGGAGTCAGTGATGTTGTAAATTTGATTCTGAATGGTTCTGATGACATCATTTTGTGTGACTGCCTGCGTCAGGTTGTTCACTTGCTGCAGGATCAGATCGAAGTGAACGTAATATAATTTCGTCTCCAAAGGCTATAAATATGTTGTCTCTCTGTGTGCGTATGTTCTGAAAGTATTCTTGCGTGTGTGAATCCGTGGGTGTGTGTGTGTGTGTGTGTGTGTGAGAGAGAGAGAGAGAGAGAGAGAGAGAGAGAGAGAGAGAGAGAGAGAGAGAGTTTAAAGGTAGAGGATCTACTTTATTGCATAGGGTTTTATTATGTATAGCTCATTCTTTTTCCACAATAAGCACGAAAGTGCGTAGCTCCAGCGACCACCCTTAGATATTTCCGAAACGCCTGAACTTACCATCCGACCACCGGATGCACGAAACAGAACGCATCATGTTGTTTTCTGATATTGTTTCGTAGGATCTTTATACGATTTAAATTTGTACTCTCAAAAACAAAGTATTTTTGAAATTTATGTTGAAAGTGAGAATGTTTGTAGTTACTGTGTGTGGTGTGTTCAATCTGTTCTTATATTAATTATCATCTACCCTTAAAAAAATGAAATTTACAAGATTTTGATCAGGCAAAATATTACAAAGTATACAAGAACTCACATATTATCACACACATACACACACATACACAGCTAAGCACATACATACATCGTATATCTTTTTTTTTAAAATTCCCACCTAATCCCTCATTTCATTATCAATAATAACAGAAATAGGAAACGTTAGGATCATGACCTTTCCAGGCAGTTTTTGTTAAGGCTTTGCTTGTTGTGTTCATTGTTTTTAAGCTGTGAGATTATGTTGATTCCCGTACCAAAACCAGTGAGAGAGCCTCGTATGACCTTCTGCATCCACAGACAAGGGTCTGTATGTTAAAACACAAATCACGCAGACGCCTTCACAGAAAATAAACAGGTTGCGAAAACAAAGGGATCATTCACCGCCCTTTCTCTTTAGAGAGCCAGAAACGAGTAGGACAATATAGGCACGCAAAGAGAAGACATGAATGGACTGTAGTGCATAGACGTCAAAAGAAATACCACGTTATCAATGCCCGAACAACTGGAGATGATAATGCAACTCCGCAACTGGGGATGTCTGACAGGACTGATGAATTCTTATCCGCTGGGTGAATTAGTTAATTGAATGTTGAATGTTGACCAGATCCCCTGGTTAACTCGTCAGGACGCCTTTCTCCTCAGGCAATTGTATTATTTTACACATTCTCTCTCTCTCTCTCTCTCTCTCTCTCTCTCTCTCTCTCTCTCTCTCTCTCTCTCTGTCTCTCTCTCTCTCTCTCTCTCTCTCTCTCTCTCTCTCTCTCTCTCTCTCTCTCTCATTTGATAGAGAGAAAAAAATTTACCCACATTCATGCGGTCATTTTTGTTTGAACATCAAAGGATATAAGTCAGTGTACGGAAGAATGGGGAAAACTGTCCAGTTGCTCGCTTACACAGACAAGTCGTGATATACAACAATGTCAGGACGTGTCTATCAGATCGAGGTAATACCACTGTCCAAAGTTTTAATCCCTCCCCTGAAGGTGTCGGCGTGATGCTGACTAATCACCCACTAAGTGCTGACTGGTCTATAAAATATAGGTCTAGCCCTATATGCCCAATACGCATAAAAGCCTGGATATGGTCCTTTTTCACTAAATGGTCCTTTTTTCCAGATTTAAAAAGCTGACCAATATGGGGTTTATACTGCATTTCAAGATGTTCTCTCTCTCACGCTCTGTGTATGCAGGTGTGAGTGTGTGTGTGCGTGTGCAGGTCTGTGTGTGAGTGTGTGTGTGCGCCTATATGTATTCATTTCTGTTCGATTGTGTGTAAGAGTGGAAGTCTCATTATTATATATCAGTTTCTGTAAACGTGTACATGTCACATACAAACGTGTTTTTATAACTATCTAGTACAGCGTTGCTGTAAACTATTATACATCAATGCAGCTGACGCGCAATGAGGAGAAGATGTGATTATTTGAAGAGATACATCTGGTTATCTCTCTGTACTCACAATCACAGGTGTACTCGTCATCAGCAAGTGTGAAGCCGTCCTGGCAAGAACATTCGTAACTTCCTGGCAAGTTGGTGCACTTCTGCTGGCAGGTGTTACGTCCGGAGCACTCGTCGATGTCTGCGGACACAAATGTGATGTTACAGATTTCGTAAATTAGTGCACGAGCACTTCTAACTGAGTTTCTCTCTCAGATAATAATTGCATTATACACATACTTAAAAAAAAAAAAAAAATTGCTGTAAAGGATACACAACCACCTTAGGAGGGCGGCGTTAGCGCAGTCTATAAGAGGATCGCTTTCAAATCCAGCTGCGACTCGCTGCAGCCCACGGTCGGTGTTCGAAACCGGGCGGTTTCCGGGGTTCATCCAGCCTCTAGGAAATGGGTACCAGAGTTGACACTCTAAGGTAAATGGAGGAACGTCGCTGTGGCAACAGTTTTACGTGCCAACGGCGACACAGCCGAACAATTTTTATCAGCTGTCCGTACTGGTGGCAGAGCACTTATGGTTTATTACCATGTGCAATGGCGCTGGTTCACATCTCCCGACTTTACCTTTTTTTACCTGTACCTTCACAACCAACTAACTGTAATGAGCATAGGCTCAATTTTTTTTATATATTCAAAAACAGTGCCCTGAATATGATATTATACGTTGTGTAAATCAGTATGTGAGGATAAACACTGTTGAAAGAATCTCGATTTACCACAAGAAAAACTTATCTAAAATCTCTCCTCTCCTGGTAGTTTCCTTTGTGTAGTACATGTTTAACAAAGGCTGCTCGTACAAAACGTTACGTTATTTGTGTTGTTTTGTGCACGTTTTTTCTGCTTCCCATTTGGTTAAGCTTTTTTTCAGCCAAATGTCCCATGAATTCATTCTAAAACATGAGATAGTCCAATGCACTAATGTGTCGGCAGCAGTGTAAAGGTGAACCGCGCGAACGTAAAGCGTTAAGGGGTCACTACGCCAAATTTTTATTTTTTATTTACTGAGTTAGAGCAGTTATTTTATAATGGTCATTTGTAGGGATACATGTTCTTACTTTTGAATACTTAAAGTGTAAAAAAAAAATCATGGTTGTCATGGCAATAGCCGCCATCTTGTGAAATATGTACTTAGAATCCTAAAATTAAAAAAAAAGCTGCGTATTCATCATAGATGATGGATTCATGACCTTTGATCCTATTTAGAGATACAGGTCTAGTTTATTTACTCATGTTTTTAAATATTTTTCGTAGAATTTTAAAATGTATGTTTATTGAAAGAGTCAAAAAAAAAAATCTAGCATCATAAGGCAATAATCAAATTAAAAAAAAAAAAAAAAACAACTTTCTTAAATCTACTTTTAAATAGACCAGTCCCTATAATATTGTTTATAGAGTATCCATACCAAATTGCATGTTTCTAGTCTCTATATTAGCTGATACTTATGTTAGGATTTAACACACACAACAAACAGAAATATAGAGATGTGAGAAAACTGACTTTTACACTTATTTTTTTTTTTTATCTTAAAAAAGTGCATGCGTTGGTGTCTTTAGTATTAACTTTTCAATGCTAAATTGTTTACAAATGACAATGATTTTGTGTGTAATCTATACTCCTAAAGCCGAACTTTACAAAAACGAACACATTGAAAAAGTGGTATTTTTGTCATAAATTGGAAAAAATTGCCCTTAAACATAAAGATGTGTTTGCAACGCCGCACTAATTTGTGTTGTCCAGTTTGTTACAATGAAAGTTACTCGCTTCATTAAAACAATACCAATAATCCCGATAGTATAATTTAGTTCTAAGATAAATAAAGGTTTTTCATAAGATAGGTCACGAGATATTTCCTTGGTGTAAGTTAAGTACGTGTCATTGCCTCTTCTAAGTGGTTGGTTTAACCTCTGGTTTCCTAGTAGGCTGAATTACTGTTTCTCTATAGCCTATTTCACCAACCTGAAAAGTTCGGAAACATCTGATTTTGTTTAGCAGAGCAGGAGCAGGACAGATTAAAGTAAATTTATAGACAAGGGGGAAAAAAGACGTTGTTGCCGGACAGAACACTCACAACGAAATGTTGAATTAAGAATCGACATCATAGCACTCAGATACCCCCAAAAGCGCTCCGTCCTAATCTTCAGCAGCAAGCGAAGAGTTCCAATTTCGATGGGACCAGTAACTGTCTGATTCGATATCCGTCTCGCCTTTCCCCTGAAAGTTGAGCGCCGGCCAAATCCCCTTGCAAATTCTTGCAGAGCTATTCTTTCCAGAAAGAAATGCACCGCTTTATGAAAATTAGGCAATTGTAAATTATTTTTTTTTTTTTGAAACAGAAGGACATAGGAAATCAAAGGCCACATGCAAGAATCCATGTTGATCCGTAGTTTTCAAAATATTTGTTAAAATGTGATAGCACGCCTTTTGAAACGTACTATATTAGTTTAACTAGTGTTCACACAAGACAAAGAGAACATAGGGAGGCGTCAACTCATCAAGGCAAACATTACAAATAGTAAAGTAAGTAAAGTAAAGATCCCTTTTCACACCTTTTGGCTTATCTGGCAAATGGGAAGAGCGCCCATATTTTACAGACCGTCGTCACTAGGTGGGTAATGGGGTCAGCATTACGCCGGTCGTCTTTACTTCATCAGGACAGCCATTCTGGTACCTATTCTAGGCTGGGTCGCACTGCGCAGCCCCATACCATGATAAAAATCCACGCAGCCAGCAGTGGGTTTCGATCGCGGTGCATTGGAATTACAAGTCGGTCTCGCAACGCCTAAACCACGGACGCCGCTAAACATTACAAATAGAGATTTATTAACTGTCAGGAGATCTGACCGATATGGCAAAAGGGGAGGGGTGGAGGGGTAGTGTGCGCTCTTTGAATCCCTATGATGCAATAACGGTGGAAAATACCAAGCATAAGAAGGAAATATTCCCAAGAAACCTAAAGGGTTAATTAATTGTGAGATTCTTTGATTTAAAGAAATGTACATTCATCATATAAGTGGGTACATTATGGTGCTTCATTGTGTACGTGTCAGTGAGTGAGTAGATTGACGGACAAGCCGACGGACAGGCCGACCGGTAGACAGAATGACACAGATAAACAAACATACACGCACACTTTATTACAGACAGACATAGAGACAGACAGACATAGAGACAGACAGGCATAAACCCACCTATGTGACACTTGTAGCCTGTATACCCTTCATTACATATACATATACCTGGTCCCACGCACTGGCCGTCGTTCTCACACTCCTCATCGCAAACGGCTGGGGAAGAAAACATTTACAATAAGTGCATTTTGCCAGGTCATTTAGTAATCTTGCAAGCGAAACAACGCAAGAGTTCAGGAGCGAGGTAACATGAGGACTTAGAGTTCTTGAGGTGACCCTCTTCCCCCTTTACCCACCACCCCCCCCCCCCCACACACACACACATAAGTTTTCCCCTTTACATATCGAACTTTTTTTTTCTTTGTGGAAAATGCCAAAGTCATACGGATATGAATTGATAAATACAGAATGTGTTAGACCGCTACAATGGCTTGATTTTCGCAGCTGGGCACCATTAGCCCCAAGACGTTTTGCTTTAATCTTTCAACTTTTTTTCCATTAAAAAATAAAAATTTAAAACTTCTTACAGCCTGGATTTGTAAAATATGGAACATATTTAAACTAGAACTAACGGAGGTACTTTAAACCATAATTTCTCCACTTCGTGTATTTTTTTTTTCAAATTAATCTTTTTTTATTTTTATTTTGCCCATAGCGGGGTGCTTCTCTATGGTTTGAAGCTTTGCTGCAAAATCTATGCTTTTCGGCTCAGCACATTGGATTTTAGAAAAAGGCTTTATAAATTTTGGTTTTCGGGAGCAGATTGCACATCTGTAGAAGTATAAAGAACCCCTTTTCTTGCAGCGACACCACTGTGGTAACTGTTTGTACATCTACCGTTAAAAAATGTAATAAGCTATCTTTCACTTTCAATCAATCAGGTGCCGTCTTCACAATGAAGGTTGGCTGCAATGGATCTCCAACAAGCCCTGTCTCTTGCCCTTGATGTACACTCACTCATACTGCTGTTCGTCCATCTCTTGATGTTATCCTCCCACTTGTAACGCTGTCTGCCTCTTGCTCGCCTACCTTGAACCTTTCCCTCTAGGATGATCTTTACAATACTGTTATGTCTTTTAATGTGGCCAAAATATTTCACTTGTCTCTTTTTTCATTTCACCTAGCAACTTTCTTTTCATTCCCAATTTCCTCAGTACCTCTGTATTTGATAGCTTTTGTTTTCATGAAATACTACCTAATCTTCTGTATATCCACATCTCCAAAGAACTGATACGATTTTCCAGTTGTTTGTTCATTGTCTATGTCTCTGTGCCATACAGTAAGGTTGAGAATACATAACATTTGACAATTCTCTTTTTAACGTATTGCTTATTTCTCTTGATGTCAGTAATTTTTGCATGTTTTTGAAAATGTTTTTGGCCATCCCTATTCTTTTCTTGACTTCTGTTTCACTTTTGCCGTCACATGTTATTACTTTGCCTTACATTAATGCTTTTCTACGATTTTCTGGGATTTTGTTTTGTGTCCTTCTCTTTTTAAATCAACCTTTTTAACTTAGGGGCAGGAAGGTGTGGCAAGCGTAGGGTCTTTCCATATATTCTATAGAAAAAAAAAGGGGTTGGGGGAGAAGTTGGGGGAGGGGGTTGGGGGAGGGGGAAGGGTGCCACCTGTATATAAAAAAAGATTAGAGCCACTGATGTAGCAGGGCATTTTCATCACGTCGATCCCATCACCGCTCGGTGAGAAGCCACCCGGCCTCTTGTCAAATCTTCTGTCCTTTGGACCCACACACACACCCATGGTGGCCTCAGGAAAACCCCGTGTTACATATAATACAGTGGAAGCTCGTTTTTCGAACATTTTTCTGGTGGTGGGGTGGGGGGGGGGGGGGGTGGAGGATTTTGGTTTCCGAACAAAACATCGGAACTTGAAGGTTGAGACCAAAAAGTTTACTCTGTGATGTTCAGCTGTATTGGCATTCTTAAGGGTTGGGGTTAATCTTGTAATTAACATAACCAGATACATCTACAAATAACACCAACATTAAAATATAAAACAGGTGTAAATTTTATCAATTTGCTTATAGACTAAACAATAAGTAAATGACTCTTTTCCAGGCATGTCAGGCGTATTGGGTATATATGGCTAGACCTATATTATTTTTTTAACCAACGGCACTTGGTGGGTGATGTGGTCAGCATCACGCCGGCCGCCTTTACTTCCCAGGACTGTACCTGGTACCCACTGAAGTCTGGGTCGACCTGGGAGCCAAAGTAACTTTTTTTAAAGTCCAGCTCCCATCAGACACTGAACCCACGACATTCTGATCCAAGGCAAGCTCTAGCCGCTAGACCACGGCGGGTCCCAAACTAAACAATGATATTTTAATAAATACTAAAATTAGGTACCTTAATGTTGAAAACTCAGAGCTATTCAATAATGTTTTCTCAGGGGCCTAAATATTGGAAAGTTGGGATCGTCATAGGCTAGAGACTCGAGCCCCAGCATAGAAAGGACATTTACACAATATAATTCACAGGCGATCCGCCGGCCACTTGCTATACCTTTGCGGGTCAGATTTGCCCTGCGGGCCGCCTGTTGAATAACCCTGCAAACCACAGGACTCACGTTTATTACAGCCGGGATCTCTGGGGGATTTCTTCTCCCAGCCTGGACAGCAACCTGTGACGTTGTCATAACGGATCTGCATTTTGAAAATCGTCCGGTATGCCGTCTGGTAGATGGTGCTAAGGATTAGTCAAACATTAGTTTAAATGGCCGGTAACGAATATCAAACACTAATAATACATTGTAAAGTTGATTCTTTAACAATGTTTTGGTGGGTATTGGGTGTTTGAGACATATTTTATACAACCACAAGGAGTAATATGTTCAACATCTCACCGGTCTCCATTATTTCTAAAGTCACTGCCTGGTACCCCTTTTAGGCTGGGTAGACCTGGGGCAAGGCCATTTTTTTAAAAAGAGAAACAAATTCATCTAGCGCGGTGAGGATTTGAACTAGTGACTTTCGGGCTCACGGGTGAGCGTCTAGCCACGACACCACGGCGGCTCCCAAATGACATTGTAGTTTTAAAACTTAATGAGTTAGCGTATGCGTCAGTGTTTTAGAATATAGTCTTTACAATGACGGTTGGCTACAGTGGGTATATGTATCCGTTCTTATCTCTGGGCATATTACGTGGCCAGGCGCCAATCTCTTTCGCGGTTCAGCTCTCGTACCGCTATTAGAAAGTCGCCACAAACAAATTTTTGCTTATATAAACCACCTTTGCAGATGGCAAGTCCTGGTACACCGAAGATTGTGGCATGCGTTCACCAGTCTCAATAGCCATAAAGTCACCCTCTTGTGCATTAGGACACTTAGTTTTAATAGAAAGATTTTGCAGAAATTTTACATCCAGCATGTTTAAGGACAGTTGTCAACACCTTCAGGTGTAGTGGGCACATGGCGCTAGAATTATTTTTTATATGCAAGATGTGGTGAATATCACACTGGCCGTTTTTACTTCCCATGATTTAACCGTTTAAAGCTGAGTATAGCTGGAAGCCAAGGTAATTTTTAAAAAAATTCCTGGTCCATTAGGGTCTGAATCCACCATCAGCGACTAGCCGCTTCACCACAGCGGTTCGAATCTAGCATGAGTACTTTCAGCTTTCATTTTGGGAACCTCTGAGCAGTGTTTTGTTTAAACATAGTTTGTTTTATACATTCCGCTATCTTTCCATAAAACATAAACCCGTCGGTTTCTACACATATGGCACTGGATATGTACCTAGCTGTATGTGCCCGCATGTTGACTCGGTTGGCATGTTCCAATCTGCTTGACAACGCCGTGATAAGGCTTGATGATCTAAAACGATGTGAGCCAAGATACTGGTCATCCCAAGAAACAAAACACGCCTCTTGGTGTTTATCATTATTATCATTGAAAGCTAGCTGGGAGCGGTAGGTAAAGATTAAAAGATAACCTTGAAGACACGTTGCTCTTCCTTCGTTGACAAAACAGATTTAAAGATGTAATAGTTCAGGGCACTGTTCTTCAACCCATTGATATCGGGCCTGGAAAAGTCCACGTGGGCGATCGAAAATTCCTTAGTCTAAGTCGCAATCGAGGTTTTAACATCACTGCAATCGGGTGACCCCATGCTTGCTCAATTCCTGTGCCAGTGCAAATCAAATAAAAAGGCCCTTACTGTTTCATTTGAAAAAAAAAATTGTGAACAAACAATTAGTATTAGAAATCCAGAAATATGCGCACTCAGCAAATGCATACTGCAGTTGCTAGAGGCACCAAAGTCAACAGACGCCACCAGAAACACAGTTTATCGTTGATAAAAGTAGTCAGGCACGATAAGTTGGCTATACACACGTAGAACCACCACATCAGGTATTTCAACAGCTCACACGTAAACCGGCTACCGACCATATTGAACACCACGACACAACCGCTGCGTCAAAAATAAATGTAATGGTGTAGAATAGGTAGTTTTTTGTTTGTTCTTGATTGCAGTCTGTAGGACTAACATCTCAAGGATGAGAATCAAACAGTTACAAGTGATATTCAACATAAGATGTCAGCATTTGAAGAAGTAAGCTGAAAGCGGTGATAATTACTCCCCTTAAATTAGGATTTTTATTTGTGGGAAGATGTAAAATCATGCGCACTTAAATATCATGAACAAGAAAAGTTGATCGATTTGTCTTCCGATATCAGTTTTGTGTCAATTATATTATAATTTTTTTTTTATTATCGAAAAGAGCTCACGGGATACAAAGGAATAGAAAAATATACTTCAGCGCTGTGTGGCGCATAAGACTCATAACATGATGATGATTATGATGATGAAGACCTATATATATCATAACCATCAGTTATGTCACTAGTTATATTATATATATATATATATATATATATATATATATATATATATATATATATATATATATAATATTCCTTCGTCTTTTATGTCAGGTATAAAGCTACCACAGATTTAGTCATGTTTATGTTAAAAGGCTTTTTTGCCGTGTCAGTAATAAAAACTAGAGAGAATTCGAATTAATGTTATTGCAGTGCTTTATCTATCAGAATTAATCGCATATGCCTTTTTCCATTCTCTAAGCAGCAGATGTCACAATAGCTGAAAACCGCAATCTTATGATATAGGATTTAATAAATGAACTAGCATCTTATATTTTCCCCCTTATCTTTAGTAAGCGGTCCGAAAAACCGCCAAATAATTGTCCCAATTTTGTTGGGCCTCGGATGTACAAAGATTGAGAAACTATGGTTTAGGGTGAGAATAATGGGAACTGTGGCAGTATAGTCTGAGCTCTGGTACAGACTGAGATGTTATATAGTCATCTAGTAGTTAGACCGAAAACTGGTATTGTCTGAGATGTTGCTTGGTAATCTTAGTAATCTTAGTTTCAGCTTCATAGCAAACGGGTCACCCCATAGTTGCTCCGCTCCTGTGCCAGCGAAAAACACACAGAATGTTCGTCACAGTCCCTTGTGGAAAGATTGATAGCATTTGCACTAGCATACACGCGCATTAAATGCATACGGTAGCCATCAGAAGTGCTAACACAAATAGTTTGACATTAGAATGTCAATGTCTGTGATGTTGCATAGTCTTTAACGAGATGTAGTCTGTGAAATGGTATAGTCAGGGATGTCGTAAAGTCTTTGATGTGGTAAAGTTTGGGATGGTTAAAAGTTAGTTGCGTGTCCTTTACAGGACGTTGCAGAACCAACCCTAACAGCCCCTGGCTGTTGTTTGGTTTCTCTAGGCAGTTTACATCCAGTAGTTTGCCATTGCTTCTGGACGGTCGGCTTTATTGATACCACTGTCGAAACCAACGCAAGGCGCATTGTCCACAGCTGGGATCGAACCTGGCATCCCGGCATTACGAAGCGAAGCGTTCGCATCGACTTAGCCACAGAGCCGACTTGGGATGGTATATATTCTAGAATATGATATAGTCTGGGGTGTGGTATAGTTCTAAGATTTGTTATAGTCTGAGATCTATAGTATGACACGCAATGTCGTATATGTGATATAATCTGATATTTTGTAGTAAAGTCACCGTCTTGTGCATTAGGACACTTTCAGTTTTCAGTTTTCATGTCCCGCTTAGTATAGTCTCAGATATGGTATAGTCTCAGATGTGGCATAGTCTCAGATGACAACAGTTTGTATCTGACCGGTGAACATCTCAAATACATACCGATGAAGATCCTTGCGGTATACGGCCCTTGTATACGACTGCTGGATGGGCACAGGCTCAGCGATCGTCTGCTGGTGATTACAGACATGGCGGCTGTGGATACACCAATACACATGGTTAATGAGAACATACAAGATCAAGCAATGTCATCACAACAGTTAGTAATTTAGGACTTCTGTTTTTCTGGAAGGCGTTTCACCATCCTCAGTGTACAGGGGCTCAAAGAGTTCCTGCATGACTGGCTAACATTTAACCCTACGAGGACCACGCAACGAGCGATTAACATTAGGTGATGGAAAGTGCCACCATTCGGATCAGATTCCACAAGGCGCCAAGTCACAGAAACTCCGTTTAACCGCATGTTAGGGCTCCCGACGACGGTTACCAAGTAACATGAAAAACAGGCAGAAGGGAAAGGGGGAGGGGGAGTTTAATTTAAATTTTAAAAAAGTGTGTCTCATTTCAAGACTGCTTAATTGCCTATCGATCGGAAGGTCGTGGGTTCGCTCCTTGGCGGAGCCAGACTTTTTTCATAAATGACCTTGGCTCGCAGGTCGACCCAGTCTTGAGTGGGTTCCGGGTGCAGTCCCGGGAAGTAGAGGCGGCCGGCTTGATGCTGACCACATCACCCATCTTGTGCCGATTGGTCTATAAAATATAGGTCTAGCCCTATGTGCCCTATACGCCTAAAGGGGTGAAAAGGGGTCCTTTACTTTACTTTAACAGCCTAGCCGTCCCTGTAGGTTTATAATGAAGGAAAAAGATTAGAAGCTCACAATAAAATATGCACAGAGACAGCAGTCGAAGTATATACCCGTTGTAGGCAACATAACTACGGAAACGAAACAGTTTTGGCCGTTGTTGCCAACACTATGGTTCCCTGCGCATTAAACATACAATGCGTGACTTACACCCGGTGACTATAGTTTGTGTTTCATGTTAGTAAACCTTTTCAAATAATAAATGCCAGTGTGTGTCTTACAAGCAGACGCGGCGTATGTAAATGGAGAGTTTTAGAGAGCGATCTTCAAGCCTCTTTCGGAAGCTGTATTGCAGTATAACTTTGACTAAAGCGAAAAGTCTTTACATCAAAATCTTGCCTTTAGATACACACTCTGTTTAAGGTCTTAACACGATAAAGTGAGTTGCGTATCCTTAACAGGACGTTGCAGAACCAACCCCAGCATGTTGTGGTTTTTCAAGGCAAATTTCACGATCAGTAGTTTTCCATTGCCACTGTACGGTCTGCTCTCGGTACAACAGTCGAAAAAAAAATAAAAAACACACAAGAATATCTGCTGCCAAATCCTCCGGAGCTAGAATCGAACCAGACACGCCGGCATTACGGAGCGCGTTCGCAACGCCTAAGCTACAGACCCCGTCTAGAGACTATAACGCCAATGAATCATTTGTATGATTCAAAAGGCAATCTTCCAAAGAATTCATAACTAATTAGCCATACTCTAAATTATTGCTGCACACGCGATATCTGAGGATCGCCACGGTGTAGCGGCTAGACGCAGGCCTGTGGATCGGAAGGTCGTGGGTTGTTTGTTTCTTTCTTTAAAAAAATGTCTTTGCCTCCCAGGTCGACCCAGCCTTGAGTGGGTACCAGGTGCAGTCCTGGAAAGTAAAGGCGGCGGGCACTCTAAACAATTTAGATCAATAACTATATCCCCAGTACACCCGAAGACGTGGGAAAGGATCCCTTACTTGTGCATGCGATATCTGGCCAAAGCTAGCTTCTGTAACTCTTGTGCTTGTCAGTATGTTGTCCTGTGACGAGATTTGTAATCACCGACTTTAAAAAAGCTTAAATCGCCTTAGTTATGAAAGTAAATAAAAATGTTACTTGCGTATCCTTTACATGACGTTGCAGAACCAACACCAGCAGCCCCTGGTTGTTGTGTGTTTTCCCTAGGCAATGAACGTCCAATAGTTTGCCATTGCTTCCTGGACGATCGGCTCCCTGATACCACTGTCGAAACTAACGCATGGCCCGCAGCTGGGATCGAAGCCGGCACCCCAGCATTACAAAGCGTTCGCATCGACTTAGCCACAGAGCCGACATGAAAGTAAATATTATATTCTAAAATGTTTCAGTGTAAACTGTTTCATACAAGTGTGAAAGATAGCGCTATAATAACACTTCTTCAACCACAAAAAGCAAAACAAAAGTACTTGTATAACAAAGGAAGGTAATATTTAAGTTTTTCATTGGTGATGGTACATCTATCTTGTCGAGAAACTAGATACTTGTATCTTTTTTTTTTTTTAAATCCAACACCTCGACGAAAAATTACTGTAGGAGCAATCAATACTAAAGTTCTATACGGTTTTACTTTAAACACGTTCTAAGACTGAAAGTTAGAACTTTATTTTGTAACTACGAGTACAATATTGGAATAACAGATATCGGTTATCTTGAACGTAATTATGTTTCTTCACAACTAACGATCTGTCATTTCGACAAGTTTGCCATTTCCTATGTGCCGTGCGATTACGTTGAGTTACATACAAACAATAACTATAATTTGCACAAATATTTCAACAAGCGTGTATATTTTAACATTTTAGAGTGTTTTTTTTTGTGTGTGTGTTCACTATGCGTAGAAACAACAGAAGCATCATCCAAGTCTAAAATAACATCAGGAAATATTTGTGCAAGCACAGCAAGTATTTAAGTTGTTCATTGGATTCCTCTCCGTCCCCCATCATCTCTTTTCTGAGGTTTCACCTAATTGTCATTCTGGTTTATCTTCACAACGAACACATCTTTCGCCTTTTCTTCTTCTTCTTCTTCCTCGCGTTCACCAGCTGTACACTCTGGTGGAAAGTTCTGGTTGCTCGTCCACTACTGAACTGCAGTCCTGCTCCAGAAACTGAGTGTTGCGTGTGCATCAGTTTTACAGATCTCATTCTCTTGAATACAGACTGTTGGTTCCTTGCCTCTCCGGCAGATGCACTCCGACTTCAAAGGAAGCTCCCCAATTAGTCGACTCTTACGACATGCTTTTGGGGAGGCAGTGGGTCTATTCTTGTTTTCCCCACAATGGAGCCCCGGATCCCACACGGGGGTCGCCTTTTCTAAAGTTGCTTCACCTAACATCTAACACACATCTCCATAGCATGATTAACCCTTTCTTATTGCAGGAAGACAACTAAAAGACCACTATGGTCACACGCGGAATATTTTCACAAGTCGGATCTATCCAAACCCAAAAACTGTTTCAGTACTTTTAGGCAAAGTAAAATACTCACACTGTTCTATCTATCTTTTGTCTTCTTCACTTTTACCGGGTTGCAGCCCAGTGTCGTGGTTTAAAATATTTGTTTTGTGCCTCTCGCGTGATTTGAGTGACAGTTTTCTGGATCTTCTGGCCGTATTTAGCTACTCCATCTATCTATTTTTCCTGGGTCTTCCTCTGGCCTTTCTTCCCGATGTTCTATTGTAAAAGGCCTTATAGGCAATCTGATCCGGTTGCATTCTTACTAAATGACCAAACCACTTCATTCTCTGTCTTTCAATATGTTCCATGCATGCTCTTGTTCCAACTTTGTCTCTAATGCTGACGTTTGTGACTCTGTCTCTTCGTGTATTGTTGGTGACTCTTCGGAGACGTCGCATTTCACAAGTAGTTGTATTTGTTCATTGTCCACGTTTGGCACTGATAACATAACGTAGGGATGAAAATGCTGTTGATCATCCGTTGTTTGGCTGGTAACGAGATCTTTGGATGACGAAGAAGTGGGGCCAGTTGGTAGTTAACTGCATTGGCTTTTTGAACTCTAGCCTGTATCTCTTTTTCGAGTCTTCCATCTTCTGTAAAAATGCATCCTAAGTACTTGAATTCTTGAACTTGTTCTAATTGTATGTCATTGATCTTTATGTTTACATTACGGTGTTTCTTTCTTATGGTCATTACTTTAGTTTTTGAGGTGTTTATTTTCATGTCAAATTGTGTACAGTTAGTGAGCAATGAATCAACATGTTGTTGCAGTTTTTGTTCTTCTTCTTGTAACAAACATTGGTCATCTGCAAAGAGAAGTTCATTTATAATATCTGTGTTTTGGTTTGACTCCTGTGCAATTGTATCCATATATGTGATGAAGAGTAGCGGTGATATGACACATCCTTATCGTACTCCTGATGTAATGGGGAACCAGTCTGTCATACCTTCCGTTGTTCTAACAGCGCTCTGGCTATTTTGATAGAGAGCCATTATGTTTCCCAATAATTGACCCGGTACACCATATTCTTCAAGAATGTTCCATAGTTTATTTCTGTTAACCCTGTCAAAAGCCTTCTCTTGATCAATGAATATAAGATTCTGGTGTTTATTATATTCGATTGTCTGTTCACAAATTTGCCTAAGAGTAAATATTGCATCAGTGCAGCTCTTTCCTTTTCTAAATCCAAACTTGTTGTTACTTAATTGAGGTTCTAATATCACCCTCGCTCTTTGTTCTAATATTTTTGCAAACATCTTTCCTACATGGCTTTGTAAAGAGATACTTCTGTATGTTTCACAATCTCGTTTATCACATTTCTTCTTCCATATGGGAACTATAATTGCTCTCTGCCAGTCAACGGGAACTTTCATTTCCTCCCAGGCCATATTGAATATTCTTGTCAGCCATTTTACTGCTGTTGACTTACATGCAAGTATTATGTCTGTTGTAATACCATCTGTTCCGGCCGCTTTGTTTCTTTTGCTTTGCTCTAGGATCTTTTCAACTTCAGATTCTAATATATTAGGTTCTTGTTCTTGTCCAAATTTTATTTAATTAGACACTGGTTCTTGTGGTCCACTATTCAGTAATTCAGAAAAATATTCTTGCCATCTTCTTTTAACATCTTGGGATTTGGTGAGTGGTTTTTTAGCCTTGCTGTTTATGTTCTTTGATAGGTTAAATTTCTCTTCTCTCAGTCTCATAGCCTTGATGCTTCGGTAGAACTGACCTGGTGAATCAGTGCATAGCCTCGCTAATTGTTCTCCGTAGTTTGCCCATGATTCTGATTTCGCCGAATTTACTTTCCTCTTGCTCTTTGCTCTTGCTTTTCTATATTTGATGGAGTCCTCATCTAATTT